TATATATATATATAATAATATTATATATATATATAATATTAATATAAATATAATATTAAATATTATATTTATTAAATATTATATATATTAAAAATATTATATATTTTTTATATAAGATACCTTTTGTATATGATAAAAATTAACATGTTGAGAAACAAATGTGTATGTGTAAAATATATTGCACTATGAATAATTAAATTTTTAGATGTTTTATTTAAAAAATTGTAGAATATTTGTTCGAGACACCGTGTATATATTTGTCATATCTTATCTTAAACGATATACCATAGTATTGTGTTTCTACTGTTCATTTGATAAGCGATACATTTTTGCTTTTTAAATGCACGAATGAATTGTGCATTTAAAAAGACACTAATAAAAGATAAATAAATATATTTTTGTTCTTGTTATTTTTTACAATTAATAAATCATTTAAACAATTCATTGAAAAAACAATAAGAAAATAAATTCATTCTAATTTAGTAACATTGTATGGTGTTTTAAGATGGAAGTTAAATCAACCTTTAGTATGTGATATACACATACAAATACCTGTTCGATATACCTGGCCGGAATAATCGATCGAAATCGAGGTCACGTGCCGATGGTTCGTCTCTTTGACGTTACCTTGAAAATTGTGCAATCCCATTTGCAATCCTTTCTAGAGGAACGTGTGCTATTATACAAATCCTCGTGATACATATTGCTAAAGGACAAATATAATAGAAAATAGAATAGAAAAAACAATCAATTGTTTTTACATTATTAATGTTTCATTTATTTGTTACTTCATTTTAATTTTAATTTTAATCAATTCTGATCTTGAACTCATTTCATATCTATTAATTGAAAATAATCATTGAACATTTATTTAATGTATTATTATTTAGTAATCTATGAAATGAATTATATTATTTAGTAATCTATGAAATGAATTATATTATTTTGAATCTATGAAATGAATTATATTATTTTGAATCTATGAAATGAATTAGTATTTTGAATCTATGAAATGAATTAGTATTTTAAATCTATAAAATGGATTATCATTTAGTAATCTATGAACAGAATTATTATTTTATATATACGAAATGATTTATATTAATTATTAATCTATGAAATGAAGTATATCATTTAGTTATCTATGAAATGAATTAGTATTTTGAATCTATGAAATGAATTATTATTTTAAATCTATAAAATGGATTATCATTTTGTGATCCATGAACAGAATTATTATTTTATATATATGAAATGATTTATATTAATTATTAATCTATGAAATGAAGTATATCATTTAGTTATCTATGAAATGAATTATTATTTTGAATCTATGAAATGCATTATCATTTAGAATGAATGAATATGAAATGAATTATTATTTTATATATATATATGAAATTATTTATATTATTTATTAATCTATCAAATGAAGTATCATTTAATAATCTAGAAGCTGAATTATTATTTTGAATCTATGAAATGAATGATCATTTAGTAATCTATGAAGTGAATTATCATTTAAAATCAATGAACTAAATAATCATTTTAAATGAAACGAATAATCTCATTATATATATAAAAATATTTATTTAAAATATGAACATTTGTCAATATTATCTGTCAATTATATTCATCTTAAAGATACATTTTAATACAAACGGTGATGATAAATAATTTATCTGCGATATTAATCTATTTAGTGTAACCCGCGTGTAATAATAAAATCGACAAGAGAGTAAGCTTATACACACATATATATTATATATATATATATAATAGTGAGATTAAAGTGTGAGCATGTTACGAAAGAATTAGTATCGTTTTATCTGACATGCAAACCCATGATTGATGTCTACAATTTCCGTTTTCAGTCGAACGACGAAGGCGTTTTAACATCAACGACAGGATCAAGGAGCTTGGCACCCTCCTACCAAAGACCAATGACCCGTAAGTATCATTTTTTCTTTTTTTTTTATATATATAATTATTATCCTATAGTAAATACCTTACAACACTCACACACGTACAAGTTATTTTCTTTTTTTTTTTTTTTAAATTTTTATTTAAATGAAGTTTTTCGTTTAACAGATTGGGGATAAAGTTTTTTTCGTATTTTAATACAACAAAGTGCAATAAATTGCAACAAAGTGCAATAAATTGCAACAAAGTGCAACAAAGTGTGTATTAGTATTTATATTAAAAGTTGAGGGGAGTTTTTCGAAAAAACAGATTGGGGAAAAAGTTTTTTCGTATTTTAATACAACCAAGTGCAACAAAATGCAACAAAATGCAACAAAGTGCAACAAAATGTAACAAAGTGTGTATTTTATTTAAATTCAAAATTTAATCTTTTCTATATACTTATATATATAATATATTATTGTTTTCTATATTATTATTATTATTATATTTTTTTTTTTAATTATTCCATATACCATCTTCCATTCCATCATTTATTATATATTTCCTTTTTGATAATACTAAATATATTATTCAATATTATTTCATTTATGCAAGTTTAATTTGCATTATTATTATATATTTTTTATTATTTTTTATATATATATATATATATCTTCTATTATATTTATATTAAATTTTTTTATTTTAGTAATTCTTTTTTAGAATCCTTGCATATTTAATATTTAAGATTACATTAACAATTATGAATATATTTCTTAAAAAATATTATTTCTATATATAGATAATAAATATATTATTCGATTTGATATCATTTATATGCAAATTTAATTTGTTATATTATTATTATTATTATTATATATATATATTTTTTATTTTTGTAATTTTTCTTTTAAAATCCTTGCTTATATAACATTTAAGATGATGTTAACAATTCTGCACATATATATATTTCTATAAAAAATGTAATAAATTATATATTTGGTTTTTTAATTTAATTTTTTGTTCTTTCTTTTTCTTTTCTTTTTGGGGAGGGGAGGGGGAAGGGGGGGGGCAAGGAGGATATAAATTCTTTACCTTCCTTTTTATCTTTTCTTTTCACTGATCACCTTTTCATGGTTCTTCATGCGCTTCTTTCAACTGTACGCACAGAAGGTAGTAGTTCCCTTTTTTTCGCGAGTCCTCACGGGTCATTATTTCCTGTTCGTGACCTTTTACTGCGAGTTAGTCCAGGTCAGGTGCTCCAGACGAGAGGCTTTCACCGGAAGTTCATCCTTCTTTCTCTTTTCTTTTATTTTCCTTTTTTTTTTTCTTCTTTTTTTCCTTTTTTTTTTTACCTTTCCAGTACGAGTACGAATACGAGTACCTCGTGATACTCTTTCGCTTCTTCATTCTTTCTAGCTTGTTTCACTCTGATCCTTCTCTATTCTCTACTATCTCGTTTGTTTTTTTTTTTTTTTTTTTTTTTTTTTTTTTNTTTTTTTTTTTTTTTTATTATTTTTTCTTTTCTTTATTTCTTTTCGTGTATATATATATATATATACGAGAAGTAAAAGATGGAGAAAGAAAAATGAAAAAAAAGAAAAAGAAAGGAAAGAAAGAACGAAGGGATATACACATATTTCATGGTGATGGCAATTCTTTCTCAAATGGATGATAAAAAATGTAAAATGAAAAATGGGCTGACTTGACTGTGTTCTGTGTTCTGTGTACTGTGCACAAAACTATGAATTATATATATATATATTTTTTTTTTACAAAATATATATTATTTATTATTATTTAACATATTTGTTTCTCGTTTTCTTTATCTTTTCATATACTTAGATTTATGTATTATTAATTATAATTTAATTATGATTGATATGACAAGAATGCAAAAGTGTGATTATACACACACACACAGGATAGAATATATTTCAATTATTTTTTTTCAACTTAAATTTTTGTAATATTTTAATGGTATATTGATATATTATTATTTATAGTTTAATTAATACGATAATGCAATTAATAAATGTAAGAGTTTGATTATATATATATAGGGTAATATTGATTGCAAGGAATAATTCATTAATTTAATTATTCTATTTAAAAAGAAAAATAATTATTCAAAAATATATAATAAATAAAATAAAAAACGTATTCAACTAATATAAAAAATAAAATATAAAAACTATAATTATTCGAACATATATAAATAAATGAAATAAAAAACCAATCTAACTAACATTAGATGAAAAAAAAAAAGTATCGTTATACTACACTCTAAATTATAATTTAATTTTATTTAATTTATATTTTTCAATTCTAAAATAGAAAAATAATTTGTAAAAAATATATAAAAGATAAAATAAAAACGTATCTAACTAAAATAAAAAATAAAATAAAAATAGTATAGTTAACTAGCTTAAAATTAATTTAATTTTATTTAATTTATATTTTTAATTCTAAAATAGAAAATTAATTTGTAAAAAATATATAAAAGATAAAATAAAAACGTATCTAACTAAAATAAAAAATAAAATAAAAATAGTATTGTTAACTAGCTTAAAATTAATTTAATTTTATTTAATTTCTATTTTTCTTAATTATAAAATAAAAAAAAATAATTATTCTAATATATATATATAGTAATTAAAAAAAAAAAAAAGATCCTATCTAAGTAGCATAAGATAAAAAAAAATAAAAATAATACAAAATTATAGTACTCTAAATTAATTATATTTAATATAATTTAATTTATACACACTTTATATATAAATTAATTTTATTTAATTTATACACACTCTATATATCAATTAATTTTATTTAATTTATTTATTTTTTTTTTTGATCATAAAATATTTCATTCATACATTTCATTTAATAAACGATTAAAAACGTCATACGTGATAATAAATCTCAATTTTTTTCTAAGTCTCCCAATAATTTAATATAAAATACATAATATATTAAATATTAAATATTAAAATTAAAAAGAAAATGGTGTCCATCCAATATGCACGAGTGACCTGTTTCAGACAGGAATTTAAGATTTTCTTATTTTTCTAGCAGCCCCGACGATCGACGTACTAACGAGCAACCATTGCATGCAATAGCCAACGTCTGCCAACTACCCTTTCATTTATCAATCCGACCTTCGACTCATCCATTTGTCATTGTCACGATCGGGATAACTTAAAAACTATTCCCCCTCTCCACCCACCCCACACTTCTTTTTTTATCCTTTTTAGTTTTATTAATTTTTTTTTTTTCTACTTTCTTTTCTTCTTCTTCTTTTTTAATTTTTGTTCTGTTCGTCTGTTCCTTTTTGTTTTTTTTTTTCGTTAGGGGTGTCTTTCTACTCACCCCCCCCCACCTGTGACTAATATTTTCATTCTTTTTTATATTACATCGCACACACAACGTCATTTTTCAAAAAAGTTTCCTTTTCAAATTATTTATTTAAAATATTTTATATATCATTAGTTGGTAACCATAATTTTATTTTGAATAATAATTATTCATCATTTATTTGAATTACGAGGAAAGAATGATAATAAAATTGTTTAGGATTTTTTTTTTTATATGTTTGATATGTTCATTTCATGTTTGTAATAATTAATTAATGATAATGCATGTGTGTGCATTTTTATTTTAATTTTTTAGTACACAGAAAAGGATTTATTTTTTGATTCAGATGTTCGAAATGATGATGATGCATGTGTGTGTGTCCTTTTTTTTTTTTTGAATTTTTTTTAGTATGTAGAACAGGATTTCTTTTTTTTTTTTATGTTCAATATGTTCATTTTTTATTTTTGTAATAATTAAATGATTATAATGTCTGTGTGTTTGTGTGCTTGTTTTTTAATTTTTTAGTATTCAGAACATATTATTTGGAAAATTTATTCTAAATATATTTGAGTATGTTTGAATTATGATCATGAACATGAGAAATGTTAATTATTCAAGTTTTCTTATTAATTTGAGATTCATTATACATATATATTTATGTATATTATAAATCTAAATATAAATATATATATGTATATAACACACGTATAAAAAGAAGCTTTTGAGCATGTAACAGCTGTCGTAACTTTTTACATGCTCGATTAAACGTAGCTTTCACGAGTTGTTCACTAAAAACGGCAATTAGATCGTCTCTCCTAACGAATCGTGAGCTATCATTTTTTTCCTATTTTGTTTTTTGTTTTTTTTTTTTTTTTTAATAAAAAAAAAAAAAAGAAAATGAAAAATCATAGCTTGATAATATTTACGAATGTGTATATTGATTGATATTAATAAATAAAAGAAGATTGAGAAATGATAAATAATAATTTTGAGTCCAATCAACTAAAATAATAATTATAATAATAATAATAATAATAATTGATAAAAAAAAAGGATATGTAAAATGAAGTATGAATAATTGAATATACGAGTAAACTTATGAAATATTTTTATTCAAAATTAAATATAGTAAAGAATAAAGTAAAATTGAATGAACAAAATGGATAAATTGAGATGAAAGAATATTTAGAATTATTTTTCAATATTTTAAATGAGTTTTTTTTTTTTTTGTTATATTGTGGACATCGTTTTGTGACCTCAGTTATGCTACCAAGTCGTGAAATGCAACTATGAATTATCAAGACAACCCGAAACTTCTTCTACTTCTAGTTCTACTTCTAGTTATCCTAAGAAACACATACTGAAAGATAGATAGATAGATAGGTAGATAGATAGAGAGAAGAAAACAATTATTATTATTATTAATATTATTATTATTATTGTTATTATTATTGTGATTCATAAGAAAGGTTGAAGTGAAGCTTGCACACGACAACGAGCTTAACAAGACGATGACAAAGTTTCTGGCCAGTTTTAGTTATATTTTGTTACTCCCTTTTGTGTGTTAGTAAGAACATCATATCTTTGCTAAACTAACCACGTTACTAATAATATTAATTCTAAACTATGTATATAGTTTATAGAAGTTTATTACGTCATTGGTCAAAATGTTTCATATATCATTTGATGATTTACGTAAATAGAAAATTTACATTTAAAAATAATCTCTATAAATTGTCTATTCAAAAATAAGTTTAATCATATTTGAAAAAGAATTTTTTTTTTAACATTTTTCTTTTATAAACAAATTCGTACAGATTTATCAAATTGTTTGATTATTACTTTTTTTTTTTTTTTTTTTAATTTTATTTACAAAATTGATACTTCGTTTCATTGATAAATTTATTTAATCTATTACACGTAATTGTATTATTTTTATTATCTTTATTATTTTTCTATATTATATTTTTTATTTATTANGTAAATAGAAAATTTACATTTAAAAATAATCTCTATAAATTGTCTATTCAAAAATAAGTTTAATCATATTTGAAAAAGAATTTTTTTTTTAACATGTGTGTTTTCCAAAATATTTATAATAATAATATTAAATTCAATTTTTTTTTTTTTTTTAATTTTATTTACAAAATTGATACTTCGTTTCATTGATAAATTTATTTAATCTATTACACGTAATTGTATTATTTTTATTATCTTTATTATTTTTCTATATTATATTTTTTATTTATTATTATTTTTCCTTTTATTTTTATAAACGTAATTTTATTATTTTAACAAATAACAGTTTGTTATATAAACAATGTCGTGTTTTAAAGTTTTATGAAATCTTATTATGGTTGGAAATAAATTAATAGAAATAGTTTTGCATTGATAATAGAAAAATTTATCATTATTAAATTATAATTATTATTTATAATTATTATATTATTAAATTAACTATTGAAAGAGGGTTTCAAAAGCTTTCAATACCTATTCGTAAAATATTTTATTTCATTTCTGATTATCCTACTTCTGATTATATACCTGTTTAAAACATACTCGTCAATTTTAATGTCTTCTTTACATATCTACTTATCTTTTCAACTTTTTTCCTTGTTTTTTACTTTTTTTGGTTATTCAATTTTCATATTGATGTCAGCACTGACTTCGTTGAAACGTTAGCATCTTCTCGTTAATAAAACCACGGTCATGTTAGCGGTTTATTACTCGAAACTGCTAAGTGGCAAAGCGTGGAGATATCAGATGCAAGTAAATATTCTTCTTTTTTTCCCCCTATTTTTCGGTAACCTTTGATCTAGTTTCTTAAGTTAGGTGTTTTACTCGAAAAAAAAAAAATAATAAAAAGAAAAAAAAAAGAATACTCCTATTTTATTTCATTTAAATGTTGTACCTGCTAAAGTATATTTCAAATCAGAAATAATTCATTACAATTTTTATGTATATCAATTATAAAAATAAATTATAAAATTATTTATAAAGATTAATAAATAATTACTTTAATGAATTATGAAAGATTAATATAAATTATAAAAAATATGCTATAATTATAATTATAATTATATAATATTATAAAAATTATATTAATTATATTATATTATATAAATTATAAAATTATTACTATAATAATTAAAATTAATAATAATAATTATAATAATTATATATATAATTAATAATAATAGTAATTAATAACAATTAAAATTAATAATATTAATTATATTATAAATATAATTATAAATTTTGTTATTATTCCAAAACAATAACCCAAAATAATCGTTCAAAGGTTCAAACTAAATATATAATTTTCTATATATATATATAATTAAAATTAAATATATATAATTCTAAAAAAATTATTAACCAAAACTATTACAAAGTTCAAATATATATATATATATATTTTTCATGATTGTCCATCATACATGCACGTGTAAAAATTGTTATTCAAGTTTTAAGTTACAAACACGGTGTTTCTATTTTAAAAACAAAACAATACAAAAAACAAAAAATAAAAAAATTCATTTGATTTTTCAAATTCACGTTGAACCAAGATCGAACGGTATTATCGTTTACTTTCTTTTTTAGTTTTTTTTTTTTTTTAATGTTTTTTTTCTTCTTTTTTTTTTAGTCTTTTTCCTTCGAAGGATTTAGTATGAGAGACACATGCTATGTGTATATGTGAACGATCGACGTGATGATGAATGTCGACTCATAATAGGCTCTTCTCCTGTCGTTCTCATGGGAAAAGAGGGTTGGAAAAGGGATGCGGGGGTGAGGTGGGTGAGGAATTGGAGTAAAAGGGGTAGGCAGATTTTAGCAGACAAATCGATGAGAAGATGCTGTCGTAAATCAACGTCCTTTTCTTTTTTTTTTTTTTTTTTTTTTACACATCGTTCGTCCGTTCTACTTTTTTAAATAAACAAAAATAAAAAAAAATACAAATAAAAATAAACAAATGCAACAAATGCAACAAATGAACGAGAGGATCAGACTGAACGAATAAAATGTTTCATTTTTTTTTTCCTTTTTCTTTGTGTGCAAAATTTGTTTGTTTGTTTGTTTTTTTTTTTTTTTTACATCAAATGAGATGCCATTTTTACTACGTGTGTTTGTATTTTGAAATTGTATTTTTGTTTTTGTTTGTTTGTTTGTTTTTTTCTTTTTTATAATATTATAAATTTTATTATACTTCGTAGATGAAGTATAGGTTGATTTAATTTATTAGTTTCATTGATAAAATAATATTATATTAATATAATATAATAGAATATTATTATTATTATTATTATTATTGTATATATAATAAAAATGTTGTATTATATTATGTCAAATATAAAATATTGATATTAGTATTAATTTAAAAAATATTCCACAGATTTTGAAATATATATTGCATTTGTTTGTATAATATAATATATATTTAATATAATATAATATAATATATTTTTCTTCTTTTTAATAATATAAATTTTATTATACTTTGTATATGAAGAAAGGTTGATCTAATTTATTAGTTTCATTAATAAAAAATAATATTATATTAATATAATATAATATAATATTACTATTATATATATAATAAAAATGTTGTATTATATTATGTCGATTATAAAATATTGATATTAGTATTAATTTAAAAACTATTCAACAAAGTTTCTAACAACCTTTATGCAATCTTTAAACCTCCACCCTCTCAAAAAAAAATTTAAAAAAAATATATATATATATAAACAATTTAACATTTGTGTTATACAACCAATTATTTTTACATATGTAAAAAACAATTTGATAATATATCCTTGCTAATTAATATCATATTATTGCACACTATAATTAACAAAATATACTAACTATACTGTAATCACACAGAAAAAAAAAAAAATTATCAAAAAAAGAAAATAAAGGATGTGGACGAAAAAATTGGTTAAACTATTAGGCTAATATTAATAATAATATTTAAAATAAAATTGAATAAACCTTTGGTATCCGGATTCTTCTCTAATTTGCAGTCAAAAAGTAAGAGTTTCGTTTCATTTCGTTTCATTTCGTTTCGTTTCGTTTCGTTTCGTTTCGAGTCAAAGAGTCGCGATTGAATTTCAATTTGTGCGTGCTTCAAATCTTAAGTTGAAACTGTAAAGTGACTTTTGTGTGCTACAAGCTTCTTCTTCTTCTTCTTCTTCTTCAAAACGACAACTACTACATATAATACTACTACTACTACTATTACTACTAGTCCAACTATGAAGAAGAAGAAGAAGAAGAAGAAGACATAGTCGTATAATGTCGCTTTCATTTAGAAATTGCTTCACACGCAGAAAAGGAACTCGAAATTCCAATTGAAAGTTGATACATACACATATACATGCAAACATACAAACATAATACACACGTACACACGTATACGAGCAGAACATACGCACGTACATTTGCTAACTGTACTATTAACACAGTTACAAATTGCAGTTAGTTTACAAACATTCGTATTATCAAAATCTTTAGATATATTTTTTTTTTTATTTTGAATTTTACTTGAATTTTTTTAATAATAATTTTTAAAGTTATATTAACAAACAATAAACAAATTAAAAATAAAGAAATGTATTGTTCGTTGAGTTAAAAGTTTGAAACTCGTAAAAACCTGCTTGTATTTTTCTTCTTCTTCACAGATTCTTTTTTTATTTAATTTTATAACAATATTATTATTATTATTATTATTATTATTATTATTATTATTATTATTATTTGTTATTTAAAAAATAATTTCATATTAATTATGTATTTTTTTTCTTTTTTGAATTTGTTTTAGTTATTACGAAATAGTAAGGGACGTTAGGCCAAACAAAGGAACGATATTAAAATCATCCGTGGAGTATATTAAATTATTGAAAAATGAACTGACGAGAATGAAACAAAATGAATTGAGGCATAAACAATTGGAACATCAAAATCGTCGTTTATTATTACGCGTGCAAGAATTGGAATTACAAGCCAAGGCACACGGACTTCCAGTTTCCGATTTCAATTGGGCATCTACGTCTGGCAGCATACTCAACCCTTTTCCAAGGAGTAAGCTCGAGCAACGAAAGGTACACGTGAGTGGAACCCTTTCTTTGTTAATTTACAATGTATATATATATGTACGTATAAATGTTTTTTTTTTTTTTTTTTTTTAGAATAGCGTTTGCATGAATTATTTCATTTCAATGATTGCAAATAACAAACGATCTGAAATAAACGTTTCAAATTTATCACTCAAGCTCATTGGTCAATTTAAAATTGCATTATGGTTTAATAATTTTGTTTATTGGTTCGTTAAATATATCTTGTATCATTTGTAAATTTCTATTTGATTTATTTTGATAATATTGATGATACATGAGATATATTTAAAATTAATTTTTTATTAACATTTTTATTTTTATTTTATTTGTATTAAAATTTAAATAATTAATAATAATTAATAATATTATACAAAATATAGTAACTGTATAAGTTAATTTATAGTTAATTATATTATATATAATTATATAAATTATATAACTATAAGTTAACTTACATACTATAGTTTAAGTAAGTAAACTTAATTAAATATAATTTTTATTATTTGTTGTATGATAAAACCATAATGTTTATAATTATAAAATATTTTTTAAAAATAACTGTTGATCTTTTGTCAATGCAGTCATCAAATTTATTTATTTTATATTTTTCTTCCTATAAATATTTTTATTTTAAACATTCCTAATGAAATTCTACATTTTCATCTATTCAATATGTTACATTATGTTTGATTTATTATAATAATATTTTTTTAACTAAACCTTGACCCATTATTAACACAAAATTTCCTATTATTTAAAAATATGAATCTACAAAAAATTATTTATTTATTTTTTTTTCCTTAATTGCAAACTTACAAAATCATATTTGAAATAAATATTAAACATATCCCTTTGTTTTGTACTTTTACAATTTTCTAAATATTTGATAATCAATGAATATTTATTTATTCAAATGTAAAATAATGCTTTCGCGTGTTTGTAATATTTAATATTTCTTATCTTGATAATTATTGTCTTTCTGACAATCAGTCAGCAAACAAACTTGTCTATAATAAAAAGAAGAAAATGTTTTTAACCATTCATACTTTAACAGCTGATAGTACACAAACGAATTCTGTTACTTTGAATATTACACTGTAATAGTATAAATAGATAATATTATTTAAGAACGTAACACTATTCGATTCCATTTGGATCCTTGATCCAAATAAAAAAAAAAAAAAAAAAAAAAAAAAAACACGTCTGTCATTGTTAATCAATTCGATTTCATCATAATTTTACATCTGTTTCTTACGTGATCTAAA